TTCCTCTCGCGGTGATGCATAGGTGCATCACCACCATCACCACGCGTCCTATCGTCGGATGGACTTGCAAGAGACGAGGACTCGTCAGAACAATCTCTCAGTCCGAAGATCTCGGACACGATGCCCCCACGTTCACCGTAGCCAGTCAACCTGTCTCTTGCAGTGTGCGCCCCGGATGGTCCGGAGTCGTGAGGTGTCGCCTTCGGGTCGAATGCATCACCCGACTCGCTAGAGTACACAAGATCCATCTGAGGATCACCCACATTGCGAGTCACAGCATTCGCTGCAGACGCAGCGGATGTATCTGTTGCACGTGGTGACTCACTACGGGGATTATTCACAACAGGCACCGCATGTTGCTGAATAGCAACAGCAGGCTAAGGATCACCTGCTGCTGAAGCAAGAGAAGAACTCTCTTCGGCTACACGCATGCGTGTAACCGCCTTTCTTGATGTCTCGGCATCACATCGCGTGGACGTTGACACCATGCGATAAATTGGAAAATGAGCTGCAAATTAAACAAAAAGTGCCCCCTTTCCAGAGTGATCTAATGTTGATCACCCTGTCCCATTCAAATCAATGCATCCACGGATGATTTGTGGTTAAGGGGGGGTGATGTTATGGGGCATCCCGTTACATGATATTGACACGAAACGGTGCCAATAGGGAGATTGTCTAGCGTGACAACTACTTATTAATATAATCCGAGGTAGATAATATTGGAGGAATACTATCCCCTTTTGGATAATGTTCATGCGCTGCTCGAATATTGGTTGATAAAAGACATGCCAACCGTAGATTATTACCAATTGCTGCTACACATGCGTAATGAGTGGTGAGCAGGTTGTCGTCATGCGACAATGTACAGTAATATTGTTAAATAACTACTGAAGTTATATTAATAGCTTAACTGTATTAAACACAGTTCTCTTTTACCCTTTACTCAAACGAGCTTTTCAAGTAGATTATCTTCCTCTGCACGGACTAGTGTACGTGAGTTTTGTGGCACCCCAAACAAAGCGTGCCCCGTTACATATTTAGCCGAAGATACATCTATTCAGAAGATAAGACATATTTCTAGCATGTATGCAGTGAATGTGATAGAGGTATAGCCAAAATGATATGTAAACAAACATTGACATAGCATTGACATAATTGAACCACTAAATGTCTGTGATTTCTCGAAATGCTCTTTTTCGTGGCCGGTCAATGGTCTACATCATAGTTATCGTGGTCGATTTAATATGAAGAGCCATCCATGAATACGATTGAACCATGTCTTGTCTGTTAAGCTATGTTGTATTTTGCTATGGGCGAGAACTGATAGTGTTAATTTTTTGGTTATATATTGGATGCCACCACAATTAGAAGAATTCAACAAAGGAGGCTAGAAGCGCGGTAAAGAAGCATGTTACTCACTTTGGAATTTAAATTTCTGTAGTGTAAAGCCATATACATGGCCATGATAATTTCTTGGTACTGCTTAAGCCACATACACTAGTACTACGGCCACTAGAGCGGTTCAAGAGAATCACCAGGCGACATTGTCAGCTTCGTGGTACGAAACTCTTTGCTTTCCTGTAGCTTGATTTGCTTGAGCGCAATCTGCTACCGTTATACCTGTGACAACTTCAAGAACAAACAGCGATGTCAACAACGACAACTACTTAAAAGAAAGCACGCGTATTCAAATGACAACACACTTTGTAGTTAAAGGTGCAGCAACGCAAAACTGCAAAGTCCGTACAACTGGTTGAAACTGATACTGATGATCATTTCAGCTTTGTCGTTTAATATGATTGGCTTTACAGTGGCTAGGAGTGCTCGTGTGGTAGTATCTACTGCAAACGGTTGCGGCAAGCTAATTTTGGCTAATGCTGCACAAACTAGCTGCATTAAAAGCAATAGCACCATTAAAGAGTTCACTTGGTTGCACAGATAATGGTAAAACTTGCAGAAAAACACAGAAGATTACAAGTACGCATTAGTTTTTTCTTGACCGATTACATATAGCCTACAATCAGCACTTCTGCCCGGCGTCATTAGCCCGCTCGTTTAAACTTTCTTTTTCGTTTGTCAGTCAATTGTAAATACAATTTTTAGCTGTGATCGGCTGATTTAAATCTACGGACGTAGTGTCTGTGGAGAGGAATTTTTTATGTGCGGCTTTAGCGGCATCAAATTAATTTAAGGCCTGATCACTAACAGTTACTTATAATCACATAGGATCACTAAGTCAGTCATTGTGATAGTGACTGTCACTCAAGCATTGCAACTGTTAAATCAACATCTCTGATGACTGGTAAGATAAATAATTTATATCCCTTCAGTCCTTAATTGGCGTCCTGTTCATCGCGATCATTATAATTTAATATGCGGTCCGGTAATTGAAGATCTTTAAAAACATCATACCTTTGTAAGTTGATTTATAAAATAAGGTACTGGAATAGAGTGCATCCCCTAATATTAGCATATCATAGTTTAAAGCAAGCCAGTCCGGCGGGCAAACAAATCTTGTCCGTGCTCCACTAGTCAGCGTGTTCCAAAATATTATTGACGTGACTTAAATCATAAAAGGACCTGATCGCTTTGTTACAACATTGAACCCTTGGTAAGAACATGAAACTTTTCCTAAATCTTTCGTTGTCTCGATAACATCATAGACATCAAGGCCTTTTATAGAGCTGCTGCAATGGGCAAAACTAAACCTCAATATTCATGATATTCTGCTAAATATAGCAAAATAAGCTATTTTGTTGACACAGCTGCCTGAAATTTTTGGACAAGCTCATAAAAGACGCCTTGACAACAAAATGACTTAGGACAGCGGTCCGATGCATCCTGTGCATAATTACTGATCCTGTGGCAAAGCAGTCACAAGGAAAGTTACGGTTCAGTTGGAGTGGGGGTCTGGGCAGATTGCACACCAAAGCTAGGTCCAAAGCGTTATGATTAATGGACCCAAACTGGGTCGGGTGGCTAGCAATAGCGCACTTAACCCCAGTCAGCAGGATCAATTTCACTTAGGACAAGGCTAGACAAACATTGTATCAGCTGGATTGCGTAATCCATCGTGAGACAGAACAAGGGAAGATTCTTGATCCCTCACCTCGGGATCACGATTCTATCTTGGGATCTAGGTCCGGACCTAGGATCACGATCCTGACTTAAGATCATGGTCCGGATTTATGATCACAATCCGGACCTAGGATCACGATTTGGACCCAGGATCACGATCAGAGGTCAAATTGTGGTATTATCTCGGGTAAATAACAAGAATATTCGACTACTGATACCCCTGGTGTGGGCCGCACCAATACAAGAGGACGATCCTTTTGAAACGGTGACGCGTGGCATTCGGTTAGGAAATACGGATAAGGACTGGGTGTAGGTTTTTGGTTGATTGGTTACCTTTAAAGAGGATTCGATTTACTTCAAAAGACGCACGCAATCTCTTACAGGCAGGATGTATGACCTTTCGACGAAAAAGATTCGCGTTACCCGTACATATAAGTGCCGCACCTGGATTGTCTGGCTAGGTGCGTTCAAGAAATCATAGGTAACTACTACTGCGATCGGACGCAGCAAGACGCGTAAGTGCAAGGCACAAGATCGCGAGACGTCTCAAGTGGTCAGAAAGCTTGCGCATCATAAATCCGCACAGTGAGCCTCGTTAGTTTCAAAGTAAATTATATCAGTACCCCACCGATACCCCGGTGATCGCGCGAAGATTTCCGCCCGATCACGAAATACCATCCCCGACACATTCAATTTTTCTCTCGACACGAGTCCACCTGGAAGGGTGCAACCCGCCCTACGGACGGGTACACAAGGTGAGGAAAGCGATATACACGGTATTGGAGTACCCCCTCCGTAAGTCGATCGTCTGGGCGCCAGTGGAGAGTCGGGATCGTCTCAAGCGTTAAGCGATTCCCACTCAACCACAAACGCGAAGCTGCATCGTTATGGGGCGTTGCTTGGCCTGCAAAATTCCTTTCATGGACAGGAGCATATTAACGTTGTGTCGCTCGTCCAGATACTTTCTTAGAATTAAAACATGCTTTCGACACGGTTGCGAGGCCACCTCAAAATTAGCGAAGATGTTTCTGGAGGGCAAGATAGTCCCATCAGTCATTAAAAGCTTTTGTGCGTTTCGTGCTTGTCAAATGCCTCCCGGACGACGACGTAGCCGTTGTACATCATAACAAGGCTCCGATGGTCAGACACTGGATCCTTAAAATTGATCAGGCATACAAAATTGTCGAGGAGGGCTCGGTACGTGTTTAATACATCCTGAATGAGCTTTGAAAAACACAGCTTTACCAATTTCTGAGGTGGGACAAATGGGGCATCGTTTTCTATCGGCAGGTTGTTTTTGTCACCCTCAGCCTTGACGTCCACAATATCCGTAACCATCGTATCAGATTACGTCGTGATCACTTTTGTGATTGCCTGATTGCCAACTCCGAGACGACCAAAGCACTCGCCAGCGTCATTTATTTAATCAAGAATGCTGTAAGGGGGTGAATCGTTACATAACAATTTATAAGAAATTGTTAATAGAATATAACTATAAGAGTTATATTCTCAGAATATTGTCATAAGGACAAATATTCTGTAGCACTTCCAAGTAGTTCCTAATTGGTTGATATAGGCCATTATATCAACCAACGAAGACGCTCCACGACAGACGCACGCAATGAGTGGTGAGCAGATAACTGATTTACACATTTGTATTTAGACATAGTTAGATGAAGATAAATAGTGATTTATTGCAGACATTAACTATCATAAATACAGTTCTACTTTTACTCTAACCAAGTACTCGCTTCTTCTTACCGTCTTCCTCTGCACGTACGAGTGTACGTGAAGTTACGAGGCACCGCCTTATTCTGTTATCAGAATAAGTAGCTTGTACTGTCACCAGTACAAGCTTCAGGGTGCCCCGTTACACCTGGTAGCACTTCGTAGTCCGTCCAAGGACCGCGTTCACATCCAACATGAATATGTTGGATGATGAAGATGACCAAAGCTTTCACGCTACGCGTGACGGCTACTCCCATTTGAGTGATGTCGAATGGGATGCGGTTGAACGAATGGGTTCGACCATGGGCATCCATGCTGTTAGCGTCATGCTAGAGGCTCTCAATAGAGATGCCCAACATGCTACTATCGCCAAGTTCATTCAAAATGAACTTGACGCAGAACGCGAGAAAGTAGCCTTGCTTCACCAACAAGGTTCTCAACAAGCAGAGTTGTTGAGAGAACAAGGTGCTCAACAGTTTGAACTGTTGAGACAGCAGCAGGCTGCTGCTGGCGGGTCGATGCACTCGCGTCGGCCCGAGACTTTGAAGATTGACATCTCAAAGTATAGAGGGGTCGAAGAAGACTCCCTCTTGAGATGGTTCGTCGAATTGGATGACGCCATAAGGGCGCGTCGCATCGACGACGGGGATATGCAAGTTGCATTTGCCCAGTCAAATCTGGCAGGACGTGCCAAGACTTGGGCACTGGGGCTCAAGCTGCACGACCCATACGCGTTTGGGTCGTTGGAAGTCTTCAAGTCGCGGCTCAGACAAACGTTTGAACCGCCTAGAGCTGAGTTCAGAGCTCGAACCGAACTCTTGAAGCTCCAAACAAGGTAAGCGTGATGTGCACGCTTACGCTCAACATATACGACATCTCACGAGTTGTATAAGTTCCAATCCGGTGGATGAACACACGTTGGTTTCGGTGTTCATGCAGGGTCTTGCGGATGGTCCCGTCAAGACTCACCTGTTCCGGCTTGAACTAGATTCACTAGAACAAGCCATTTCCATTGCGGAGCAGGAAGACTTCAGTCTGAGACAGGCTCGCGCCAGCTCGACATCATATCGTCAACCGAGACGATATGACAACGGAGGTCCAGAGCCGATGGAACTCTGTTATGTAGAGAGCGAGAAGGCTCGCTCTACAGGCTACAAGAAGTTGCAGAGATACAACAGATGTCAAAAGACAGGACACTACGCTTACGAGTGTAGTGCCCCTCGTCCAGTGTCTCGCGACACTGGGCGTAGTGACCGTCCGCCCATGAGAAAGGGGCAGGGACGAGGGTCCGCAGTTGGTGCAAAGACGCAACAACGGGATGGACCGTCAAAAAACGGACAGGATCAGTAGGTGCGGAGCACCCTACTGATCCAGCAACGTCAAGAGAATTTGTAGGCCTCTTGATGAAGGTTGCTCCCAACACACAGACATTGTGCGTTGCTGCTCTAGGTAATGAGATCTCACTCATTACCTTGAAACTCGAAGTGACGAATAAGTTGTCCCTTCGAGCTCTAGTCGATTGTGGGGCGTCCAACAATTTTGTGCGACGCCAATCGCTAGAAGATGGTCACTTTAAATTCAGTGAATGTGACACACCTCCTACGAGGATGACGGTACGTCTTGCGACAGGCGCATCCGTAACCGTCATGAAGCGTATAGTGAAGATTCACTATACGCTAGAAGATACCCAATACGACGATGACTTTATCGTATTGGATTTGGATGACAAATTTGATGTCATCCTTGGAATACCGTGGCTCAGAAGGTACGAACCACGGGTAAACTGGCAACATCGGACAGTAACGATGCCTGCCGCTTGTTCATCAGATGGCCATCTGATGAACGTTTTGGAGCGTCCACAAGCGTGTGGATGTACTACGAGTGAGTGCGATGGCCTCAATTGTGGTACGGTCGTTAGTACGACTGCACAAAACCTTAGTGTACCAAACGGTTACACTTCGGAGCAAAGTTCCGGCGGCTGTGAGGAAACACAGGCTGCGCCGAAGGTCCACCACTCGAATAAGTCGGGTGGACTGGGACAAAGATGTATCCCTAGAGGGGAACATCTAGAAGAGAAACAATCGATCGCTCAGGTTAAGCGAAACGATAATCCTAGATCGACTGGAGAGTCTTTCGTAGACGATCTCGCTGTGGTTGCGCAACCCCAGCTAGAGGAAGTAAAGGGAGTAAGTCCCAAGATTACAAATACGGCGGAAATAAGTTCCCCGAAACCCGCGGGAATAAGTCCCCGGGAAGACGAAGGAATAAGTCCTTCGAAGCCTGAGGGAATAAGTCCCCAGGAAATGACAGAGACATTGAATGTCATAGTCAATAACGGATCATGTGTAGGCGCTTATACACTGGATCTGATTGCGCCTCCGAAGTTAACTTCGGAGATCACTCAGTTGCCAACGCTCGAACATAAAAGGTTCTTGCGTGATCTGCGTAGTGGCAAAGTCAAGCAGATCTGCATACTCGTCGCTGACGACGAGTGTGTAACCGACATAAGGTCAGCAACAGTGTTTACTGAGAACGAGAGAGTTCTCAGTAGTTCATCTATGGACGAGAGTGTCCTAGATGAAAAGACACGAATTGAGCGATATGAGTCCCAATCATGGGAATCGCTCAAGGAAAATCCTCTCTATGAGGATTTGGTTGAATTAAAGGATGTATTCCCTGAAACTGTTCCGTGCGAATTACCGAAGGATAAAGGTATTCGACACGAAGTCGAGCTTAAACCAGGCTCGAAGTACTGTGTCATGAAGCAGTGGCCACTGCCTCGTGAACAAGTACTTGCGATCGACAAGTTCTTTGCCGATCGTTTAGCAGCGGGCCATGTGAGGGAATCAACTTCCCCACATAGCTCTCCGACCTTCTGTGTGCGAAAAGCAACAGGAGGGTGGCGGATAGTGCACGCGTTCAACAAATTGAACGCTGCAACGGTACCGGCTCAGACGCCGATACCGAGGAAGGACGTAATCATTGATGGTATGTCAAAGAGTACCATCTTTTCGTCCATGGATTTGATGGATGGCTTCTATCAAATCCTAATGCGGGAACGGGATATACCCTATACCGCAGTTAGCACGCCTAGCGGCATGCTCTGGGAATGGCTAGTAATGCCACAAGGGCTCAGTAATGCCCCTGCCACGTTCAACAGATGTGTATCACATCTGTTGAGACCAGTACGAGAGTTCGCGCCGAGTTATTTCGATGACGTATTCATCCATAGTCGAGCTATGGATGGAAAGTCGGACGTTGAGGCTCACAGGTACCACGTCCGACAAGTTCTTACAATCATGCGAAAGCATCAATTGTATGCAAACCTCAAGAAGTGTATATTTGCAGCAAGCGAAATACCACTTCTTGGGTGCATCGTTGGTAAGAACGGTGTACGTCCTGATCCCGAAAAGATCAAGGCGATCACCGACTGGCCTGTGCCGGTCGATGTCAAAGGTCTTCGAAAATTCCTTGGGCTAGCGGCGTATTTGCATAAGTATTCACGCAATTACGCCGAGATGACTGTGCACCTCTCTCGTTTGTTGGAAATGAACGAGAGGTGGTTATGGAACGCTGAATGTCAACGCTCCTTTGAGGGTATCAAGCAGAGCTTGATACAATCCCCAGTCCTAGCAATAGCCGATCAGGACAGGCCATTTCATGTGGTCTGTGATGCCAGCGATTTCGCAATCGGCTGTGCATTAATGCAGTACGATCTTGAAGGCGTTGAACGCGTCGTCTGCTTTCAGTCGCGTCAGCTGCAACCAGCTGAGCGAAACTATCCAGTGCATGACAAGGAACTCCTTGCCATGAAGTATGCACTCGCGAAGTTCAGAGTCTATCTCTTAGGAGATAGACCCTTCGTTGTTTACACTGACCATGCGTCATTACGCACGGCAGTGAACAGCCCGCACCTTTCACAACGAATGGCGCGGTGGTTGTCATTCTTTGCAGAATACAACTTTACGGTCGAGTACAAACCAGGACAGCTTAATGTCGTCGCTGATGCACTCTCACGTCGTCCCGACTTTGAAACAGTCGCGAAACCCAACAGTGAGACAGTCACTGTTGCGGTTATGACGTCCTCAGTCCCATCTACAACGTTGTATGATGATGTGAGGCGGGCATACGCCCAAGATGGTGAGATAGTGAAGTTGTTGTCACATCTCTCCCAACCATCCCGAGAATCGTTGAAACGATTGTCGCCTGCGTATCGATCTGCATCAGATCGATACACTACTCGTAACGGTTTACTGTACTATACAGCCGTTTCTGGTGACACACCACGTGTTGTCATTCCAAATGATACTGATCTGCGTTTGCGGATCATGTTCGAGTATCACGATGCTCCTATAGGAGGACATCGTGGCCGAGAGAAAACATATCTCACGGTAAGTCGAGACTTTTACTGGCCCCGCCAGTATCAGTTTGTGCGAAAGTATGTTCGCGCATGCGAAGTCTGTCAACGAGTGAAGTCAAGTCCTTCACTGCGTGCACCTTTACAGCCTCTACCGGTTCCGGCTGAGTGCTGGGAATCCATCTCAATGGATTTCGTCTTCGGTTACCCAAAGACGCACGCGGGAATACGGGTATCCTCGTATTTGTTGACAGATTCAGCAAAATGGTACACCTTGTGGCTGTACCAGAGACAATCACGGCAAGTGGCTGTGCTTGTGTCTTTATTGATACCATCTTCCGACTTCATGGGTTGCCCCGTGAATTCGTATCAGACAGAGATCCACGATTCACTGCTGATTTCTGGCGTTCCGTGTTCAAATCACTCGGAACGCGCTTGAAGATGTCAACATCTGATCATCCAGAGTCGGATGGTCAGACGGAACGTGCCAATCGTGTCCTTGAAGAGATACTTCGAGGATACGTACACTCCTTTAAGAGTTGGAGTGAGTTTTTGCCAATGGTAGAGCTTGCCATCAACAACTCGGTGCATGTGTCCACGACACATACACCGTTTTACGTGAATGGCTTGCGCCATCCGCGTGTACCCACCTTACTAGAGTGTAACGCTGGTTTAAGGGGGGGGACTCGCGCGAGCAAAAACCGATTTGGTTCACGCTCATCACGCTCTGACGAAGAAGTCATTGCGTTTGATGCCGATATCGATAACATCGATATCGAAGAAGATGATGCCAGTGAGAGTGCGGAAGCCCTCACTGAAGACAATGATCCCAGTGAGAGTGCGGAAGCCCTCACTGAAGAAAAGGTTGTTGTTGCTGCAGTGCGCTCACAGCACACTGAAGCTAACGAGTCATCAGATGAGTTCATACTGGCTCGTGAAACGGTAGTCCGTTTTGTGCAAGACTCCATCGCCGAAGCGGTGGATAAGCAAAAGCAAAACGCTGACAAGAATGGAAGGGCAAACACTCTTTTATTTAATAAAGGTGACTTAGTCCTACTGTCTACGGTTAATCTACCAAAGCATGTAGTGACTAACTTGGGTAGCAGTAAACTACTACCCAAGTACATTGGTCCATTTCGTGTATTGCACCGCCTAGGCAATGCATACACGATCGAGTTACCACGTAAGATGCGAACGCATCCCACGTTTTACGTTGGTCGGCTTAAGCCGTACCATCAGTACGCTGCTTCTTCCGATGAAGAACGCCCTTGCGCTCAAGCATCTCGCAGAGAGCCTTGTGCTCCCGATGGTGGGCATCAACAAGGGTCTGAAGAGCAGTTATCTCAGCCCGAGACCGATCAACAATCCCACGAGCTACCCTTAGCTCGTCACGAAGAGATGTCAGAGATCTCTCGTTCTCAAGCTGAGCAAAGGCAAACTCAGCTCGATGCTTCGAGGCAGTGTCCACCATCTGGAGACGCCTATTCCGCTCATGCTCGAGATCGTCGCGTAACCCTTGCGTTACGCGATCAAAGAAGCTCTCGGGAACACACCGATCCACATGATCGTGTGGAGAGCGTCTTTCCTCCTCCTCCACCTCCATTAGAGGACTCTCGCGGTGGCCAGCGCTATCTAGTAGAGCAGCTGTTGAACCACCGCGACGTGAACGGACGTCGGACGAGTTACCTCGTCCGGTGGCGCGGCTATCCCCCGTCCTGGGATTCTTGGGAGCCCCGCTCCCAATTGATGGTTGACGTACTGGGTCTGGTCGAGCAGTACGACGCGACACATCCTGTGCCGCAGAAGGACCGCCGGAGAAAGTCTTCCCGGCACGGTCGTAAAGGGATTTCAGGTTGTCAATCCCTTCGTACATCTCAGTAGAGACACGTACGCGCCACCACGGGCTGGTAAGGAGGTAAGCCTCCTTAGGTGCTCGTGCAGAGTTGTTCACACAACATGGGCACGAGTCTCCCCAAGAGAGGCAGGGTAATCC